TGTTAGTAGCATTAAAAATGAGTTTTTCTTTATGTAACACTATATTTTAAATTGAAATGGAGATCTTTTTTAAAAGTTAAAACCTCATTTAATTTTATGTCTTATAGGGTTTATACTGAGTACAATATTGTATGACTGTAATAATTCAACTGTTAACCTAAAAATTTACAGCCAATTTTGAAAAAGAGGCACCTTAGCTCAGAAAAATGTTATTGAATATGTCAATGCTGTTGTAGTGAAATGCTTCTTCTAATTTTGTGCTTATTAAATAAATAATTAACTGGGAAAAAAAGTATTCGGGGGAAAAACGTCCAGAAAACTCCAAAAAGCAAAATTTTAATTTGCCACAAGTCAATAATATGCTGATTTGATGCAAATAATGTGATTTATGGGTACTATATAATGTTATAAGTAATCTAGAGATTATTTAAAATATTCAGGAGGATATGCAAAGGTTCTGTGCAAATATCAGACCATTTAGTAGAGAGAACTTGAGCATGTATGGATCCTGGAGACAGTCCCCTCTAGAATCCTAGAGACAACTGTACTGTCTTTTTTTTCACAGATGTTGAATTCACAGATGCTTTAAAGAGTTTTATTTGCCTTTATCAAACCATTGCTGTGAAGGCGGTAGTAACAGTTAATGAAGGAATTTTGCATGTTGGACACACTTCACAGCTTCCAAAACCTTTCCACAAATACTATTCAAGGTCACATTTATACACCACAAAACCATGTGGAGAAGGCGAGGTTGGTGTGGCATCTTTCTGGGTATGTATAAGGGTGTCCTCATTATGATTTCATTGGTGCACAGATGAACCTGATGAGTGAGAGTGACACCTGTCATTTCTCAGACCCATCAGATGAAAAGAAAACTTCCAGCTACGCCCTCCAATCCAAACTCCCTCTGAAGTCATTACACGTGAAAACTCCCACAGGTGTGTGTTCTCTGGAACACAGAGCACATTCTGAAGGACTCAAAGTCTTGGGATTCCCAGCTTCCTGTCCTCCACTCACAGTACTTCATTCCTTCCTGGGACAATCCCTCGTCCCTCATTCTCTGTTTCCAACACAGGATCAAAGAGCTGTCACAAGTTCTTCCATGTAAGAGTCACTGTACTGTATAATGTCCTTCAGGCGTATTTGAGCTTTAAAACTCTATTGTAACTGCGAGGGAAGCCTCCATTTTGAAGAGCACATTTAGAGCATCAGTCATCAGGGAGGGAAGGAGGGACCTGAGGAGTATGTGCCTTCACTCTCACTTGAGACCTTGTAGCTACTAATGAGTGCCTTTGAGTCTACCTTCAGGATCATAGGTGGCAGGACATGGGACTAATATATCTTCCATGTATCCTTGAGAGATAGACCAAGTACAGAAAGTTCAGTGGGTACACATTGAAAATGTAATAAATAAATAAATAAATAAATAAATAAATAAATAAATAAATAAATAAATAATAAATACATCAATCAATCAATCAATCTGGGAAGTAGCCAGGGCCCAGAATGATGTCCCCAACCTTCACTCCCGATCCTTGACAGACACAAACATCTTGGCCTGACTTCATACTGCACATACTCAACCTCTGTGGTTCTGAAATCTCCAGAAAGCCAAAAGAGAGCACCATTAAGTCCACAGTGGCAGCTCAGCTCGGCCAAGTGGGCAGTGTACTTCTTACCTCATAATGGGCCACGCGCTGGGATTCGGATATCAGCTGTGCACTGCACACCTTGCAGTAACTGTCTGTAAATAAATCCTGATCGATATCGGAGGACTTCATCAGGCTAAAGAAAAATCAACAGAAGAGAAAAGTGAGTCGGTGATGACAAAGCAGAACGTTTACCATGTAAACAGCCTGGGTTTCTCTAAACCCTGATGCTTCCCTAGCAGAACATTCACCATGCGAACAGCCAGTTTCTCCAAACCCTGATGCTTCCATACCAACTAAGCACAATAGTGGATCGTTTTCCTATAAACACCCAACAGGGTTGCTGGAGCCCTAAAACAGAAGGATCTAGCTTTACTTTGCCAAACCAGACTTGTATGTAGTGCTTTGTTAAAGGTTAATGTGGCCGGATAAATACACATGGGATATAGATTAACAAGGAAGTGTAAAGCATCCGATATAGGCAATAGGAAATGGGTCAGGGCATTCTAATTCAGTCACACACTGGAAGTATGGTGTGACTTCCAAACCCAGATTCAAAAGCAGTTTACAAACAAGTATGTAAAGTATGCTGAACTGGTTTTTACCATATGTAGAGCTGCATAGGAAATGGACAACAGATTTTAACAATATTTAAATAGCAGTGTCTTTCAGAGGCTATAGATAATTGTTTTTGTAATATTTTCTTTGAAGTTTCTACAATGAACATATTACCAAGAAACAAGGCACTATAGTCAGTATACCCTCAGTGTAAAATGTACTTTTGAGTTCAATGGCTATAGCTAAAAAACTACAGACTACAGAACTTTCTATGTTCACACCATGTCACATGCAGAGGCCATGCCGTGCTTGCCCCTATTTATACTGAGGGTTTGTGTCCATCAAAGCCATTTTCCTCACCCCACATCACTGCTGAGCCCACAAAGGCAGATAAACACATCCCCTAGGTCCAACTGTATCAAAATGCAGCCTAAGACCTCATGCTTGTGAAAGTAATGTTGGAAATGTGTCATAACAACTGAGACGTTACTGCCTAGAAACAGATACCAGCTCATCTGAGAGCACACCAACTCCACAGCATGCCCTTCCTACCTGCAAGATGGCAGGTAAAGCCTGTGTCTGTCGGCATTACACTGAGAAGCAAGAGAATCTCTAACAAAGGCCCCCAGCATGAAAGTTGGTATTCACTCTACTCTGGCGCCCTCATCTTGCCTGTCTGACTGTCCAAAACTGCATTCCTGTTTGGAGGCACGACTTGAACAAGCTCCCTTCTCATTCAAGCCAGTCCCACCGCAGGCCTAATGCTGCCATGTGGAATTGAGTGAGTCATTGTCTGTCTGTCTTGATTTTCCCTCATAAATATGAGATTATAGTAGACAGTCCTCTTTGAAAAACTGTAGTGACTCAAAGAGACATATGCTAAGACAGGGTTACTATAAATCATAAAGCTCTCATCATGTTCTCAAATACCCAGAACCACCAATAATTATGCCAGACGCTAAAAATAAATCCCTTGAACCTCACTGCTGATGTGGACCTGTTATTTGTGGAAGCATCATGTCTGGCAAACGGCTGATTGGCCTGAAGTCCACCAGCTGCCATGCCTGAAGGTTTGCTACCCCCCGCCCCACACACAACGCAATCTGTCCCAGGGAGGGTGGAGGCCTTAGTTATTATATTTTTCTTGAGTTGAATAAAAAATCTGTCCTTCTGCAGCGCTCATTTATTAATTTTGTCTTAGGAACATCGCAGAACAATTCTATTTGTGTTTTTTCATAAGATGTTGTCCTAACTTTGTTTCTCCATTGCTGTGACAAAACACTCTGACCACTACCAACTTGAGGAGGAAGAGGGTTTATTTGGCTTACACCTCCAAGCTAGGAACTCAGGGCAGGAACCTGGAAGCAGGAGCTGGAGCACAGGCCATGGAGGAATGCTGCTTACTGGCTTGTTCCCCTGGCCCTTGCTCAGTCTGCTTTCTTATGCAACACAGGCCCACCTGCCCAGGGGTGGCACCACCCACAGTGGGCAGGGCCCTCCCACACTCATGTTTTTGAAGAAAACTGTCATATCTATTTCAGAGTCTCTTGCCTTTCTCCAGCTCTTTGATGCTGTCTATTTCAGTTCTTTCAGCACGGTCTGTCTTCAAAGGTGCCAAGGATAGAAGGAAGCCATCCAGAGAAGAGATGGTATAAATGGGACAGAGGATCTAAATCCCAGCAACCATACAACACCAATTGTCATTTCCAGTCGTCTCTGTTCAGTTAACATCATCCCAGTGTGAAAATAGAGAATACTTTTTTTTTTTTGGAGACCTGCACTCAATATGTAGACCAGGCTGGTCTTGAACTTACAGAGACCCAGCTGCCCCTGCCTCTGAGGGCTGGGATTAAAGGTGTGCACCACCACACCTGGTGGAGAAGGTGACTTTTGGTGATGGGAAAATGTAGTAGACGATTCTGAAGTGTCAGATGGGAAACGAAAACTTGAATTTTAAAAGAAAGTTTCTATAAGTGGCTGTGTTTAAGCTTTATCGTGTTCTGTGAATGAACACGTGTGCATGAAGATAGATTCTGGGTGACCTGCTTAATAGGCCTCTCCAAGCTCCCTGCACACTCCTCCCTCATTACACAACCAACTGCAGGAATCAAGCACTGTAGAAGGATATTCAAGGTGCATGTCGCGCTGAGCGGGGCTCGTAGGAGTCTGCATCTCAGTGAAACAGCTGTGTGGCAGAAATAGCTTTAAAAGCAAAATATAAAATGTGTAAGCTACAAAAAAGAATCAAAAGAAGAGAAAATATCTTGGCTTTTTCCACCTTTTTATGTGAGCATATTGATTTAAACAGAGTATAGTCCAGGAGGGCCCTTGTGAGTCTGTGAGATATTAAAAACACCTGCATACATTAACTTCCAGTGGGAGGCAACGAGTGGATGTAGATCAGTCTGGCGCATGCTCATTAGACAACCAGAAGGTCCTACTTACGATTCTAAGACAGGAACTTGCAAGAGGGAGATCCGCCACTTGCTACCCCCTCTGGCTTCTTTGGAAAAGGTTCTCAGCTCTGCTGGCTGACAGCGTAGATAAAGTGAAAAGAGAGAAAGACAGAACAGTCGGCCCTCTCTTGTTGCGCATGGTCCTGACAAGTCTTGGCCTCCAACAGCAGCTGGAATGGCAACAGAACCATGCACACAGCACACTCACTGGTCAGGGTGATGATGTTCTGACCTCTGGGAACCTGCTTCCTCTGCGATGGCATGAGACCTTGGACACTGGGATGAAAGACAAGCTGAGAGAAGGGAGAAGTCTAATTTCCTGAACCTGAGCTACACAATGTTTCATCTTTGCCTCTGAGACGAAAGCACACCGCAGAGCCACACACCGCAGAGCAGCACCGCAGAGCCACACACTGCAGAGCCACACACCGCAGAGCCACACACCGCAGAGCAGCACCGCAGAGCCACGCACCGCAGAGCCACGCACCGCAGAGCCACGCACCGCAGAGCAGCACCGCAGAGCCACACACCGCAGAACCACACACCGCAGAGCCACACACCGCAGAGCAGCACCGCAGAGCCACGCACCGCAGAGCCACACACTGCAGAGCCACCTCGGAGGATTTGCCTGACCTGCTTACTCTTCCACAGTCACCAGAGATGGTACCACCCGAGGGGCCCAGACAAAGAAGCAGGCCTACACCAGTCCTTAAGACACGGAACTAGTGTGAACGCTGGTGAAACCAGACAAGGGACTGGAGATGACGGGCAAATCTTCGGGGTGCTATCTAAGGAGGTTCTGGAAGAGCTGAAGTTTAGACGATGAGCAAGAGCGGAGGGAGGAAAGTGGGTTCAGAGCTGAGCTTGGAAGCCAGGTCTTCTCCCTGGCACAAAGAATCGTCTCATTATCAGTGTGCATACATGTGTGGGTAGCAGTGGGCTCTAACTGTGGGTAACACAGGATAAGAAACCAAATGTAGTACATGAAGGGATCCCAAGACCTACTTGGAGGAAGAGACATGAGAAAAACTAGATCCTAAAAATGTCTCATGGTACAAGATGTTTCCAGGGTCCTCAGATTCCGCCTTCCTCTGGACTTCCCGAGAGCAGAAACACAGGCTGAACCCTCGGAATGGGAGCTCTGTGGGAAGCAGCAACAACTCTTCATTGTATCCCATGGCTGATGGTGCGAACAGAACTGATTCAGAGTTCTCAAAAGCCACTCAAGGCTCTTCAGAGGAGAACGCATCATCTCCAATCCTAGTCTGGCCGCTCACAGCCAGGGTAATCAGGCAGCTCAGTATCCGTTCTCGGCTCTAGTCTCTTCATATGTGAAATGTGGGGGGCGGGGGGGGGCTCTTCATATGTGAAACAAGGGGCGCGCGGGGGGGGGTCTCACAAGGTTATTATGAGGATCAGAAAGTGTGGAAAAGCGTCAGACACAGAGTGGCATATGGCAGACCTTTAAAAAGCCAATATCCCCACAATCGTTAGCAATAGTACTAATTCTGGTGTGGGTTTTTTTGAGGAATACTGTAAATATTTAAGAAGAGAAATAAATAGAAGCACGTTGGAGGCTAAGCAGGAAGATGGCACAGCCAGTGTGCTGGAGTCCTAGCTTTAATTGCGGCTCCAGCCTGTCTTCACATTACCAGCATCACCCTCAGAGATGGCAGGCATCCACTGCAAGGCATCTGGCAACTCCTCCTGCCAGCCGGCACCCAGGCCTGTGCCTGGGAAGACCCCGCAGTTCATGCAACATGACAGACTATTTTTGTCATCAGAACTGATGACCCTGGCTGAGGGAGCTTGATGAGAATTTGTCCCCTTCTCTCTCTCCCACTCCTGTTGCTCCGTAGAGGCAGCAGAAGGAACCACACACTGCAGAGGCCTGGCAGAAACCCACATACACCCGCAAGCTGAGCCCACAATGACTTGCTGTGGCTCTCCCAAGAAGTCTGAGCAGACATGCTCCCCAAGCGCCAGTCTGCTCCAGCGGCTTGAGGGAAGAAGTCTTGGGTGTGGCGTTCCTACTGCATGGGCATCCCTCTACCACCAGCCAGGGTAGCTGCCACCATAAAGGTCATCCCCGGGGTCTCCTCACCTACTCTCCACCTACTGT